ACTTTACTGGCGTGCGAAAAACGCAGCACCAGTAATTTTCATTGCTACCAACTATACTGTTTTCACTGGCAGTAACTAAATCCATTTTCGAACACATCCCCTGCTGGCGACGCTAGCGACTCTTGGCGTGCTTCGCGTTGCTTTGCGTGCTACGTAACTGGGAGTACACGATCTAAACTTGTTTTTAAATAAATAAGATGTAATTGTATCCAGTTAGTTTTGAATTTGAAGATTTTCGTGAAATTTATTGCAAGAACTAGCCAGTTTTTGTGTTCATAAAGTTGTGTAAATGACAAGCAATGGTAATTTTAGGTTAATTAGCATTTAGATTAGGTTAGCAATTTCTCGTTCTCCAGTTAAGATAGTAAAAAAATGTCTTTATCTACCTCTGTCACGTTAAATACTCGTATATTCATTCTGTTTTAGATCACTAGTAAAAGAAGTAATTATATCAAAATGTCAGATCATCAGGATTACTGCAACAGTTTCATACACGGAGAATCTGATGATACCCAAAACGAGATCGAAGATTTTCCTGACAATGCAAGGAGTATTGAAGACAAAAATAGCGATGATTATCTTATTGAATTGTTTAGAGAGCGATCATTTTTGTATGATAAAAGTAATCCTGATTTCAAGAACACATTAATGAAACAAGATGCCTGGAACAAAATATCTCACACAATGATCGCGTCAAATTATGGTAAACATTTTTTATTTAAAGTTTTTATAGAATTATTTTCATTGTAATTCAGTATGTTTTTATTTTTACTTTTTCAAAACCTATCTTATTTCTTTCAACTAAAATATGCGTTTATATATATGTATATTTTTTTGTATTGCTATTATTTTATATTGCACTGAAGAAAACAAAGTTATGTTCGAAACATTCGCCTTAAATAAAATTAGTTTCTAATATTTTTCTATTTGTCAACCTTGCTCGTTAGTATTATTGGCCGTTTCCTGACGTTGATTTTTGAAAAATCTTTTTGAAAACAGGTGACTTTTATACACCAGAATATTGTCGCAAAAGGTGCACTTCATTAAGAGATCAATACAATCGTGAAAAAAAGAAGATTGAAAATCAATCTAAAAGTGGAAAGACTGCTTCAAATTCTAATGCTCGTCAATTCTTATTTTATTCTCAGTTGAAATTTCTAGACAAAGTTATCAAAAGACGAAGGTAAATTAATGCTAAATAAATTAATGAAATTGTAAATAAGTTAACAGTTTATTACATTAATTAACATACAACTTTTCTTTGTTTAACTATTACTTATAATTGTTATTTGTTTCAGGACTTATAATAGTGTCACAAGATCTGTATCAAATGCAACATTAGATAAGAAACTGGTAACATGTGATTTAGGAGATGTATCTGTTTGTTCTCCAGATAACACAGAAAGTCAACATAATAAATTTGAACGGACTGCTAATAAAATATTTGAAACGCCATCTTCTAAAGTAAAAAGAAGAAAAATGGACGAACATAAACAATTGGAGCAAATTTCTTTCAACGTGACCAACAGAATTAGAAATTCCATTACTTCTGAAAGTCCACTATCGCCAGTAGATAATGCATTTATGGAATTTATAAAAATGCAATTTGCTACGATTCCAGAACATGAAAAAAATATGAGACGAAAGATGATCTTAGATGCTGTATCTGCACCGTTGCCAAAAACGTAACCCTTTTGTACTGTATAATATTTTACATCTTTACTGAGTTAATGATAATTAATAATAAGTGAACTTGATCGTTTGTGAGTTTTAGCAAAATGACTGACTTATAATTTCAAGATATTTTGTTTTCGTATTTTTATTTTTAGTAACGCATAATACTGTTTGTCTCGAATCATAAATTTGTATATGACGTTTTAATATATACCTTAACTACAATGTGCTCTTTGCATCTATAGACATTCTATTTTCTAGCCCAAGTACGTTTAAAAAATTTCTGCAAGTTGATACGTTGTATAAACGCTACACATTGTACAGTGATAGACGGAATTGTTGCAATATACTTTTTTTTTTTTAATGAGTCTAGGAACGTGCATTTAGATCAGGCCATTTTACGTTTTAAAACCTCCGAGGAATATTTTACTTGATGGCCATTTCAAAATTATTTTGAAGTGTTTTCGATCTATTTCTCGAGTAAAATTTTCTCCAGAAAAAATGTTTTGGCGCGTAAACCTGAATCTAAATACGTGTTCCTAAACTCATTAAGAAAAAGTGTTACAACCATTCTGTCCATCACTGTACAATCGTATTTTATCGCCAAGTTTTTTTAAGCATATTGACTAAAAATAGAATGTTTTCTAATTACGAAAAGCATATTGTAGATCAGGCCTTAAACATGTATATGATAATAATGTGTTTACAATGATTAATCGTACATGTGTAAATGCAAGAAAGTAATAATTCTTTTGCACACAAGGCTAATATATGAATACTTTATAAATATCTAGAAATTACAAACCAGCCATTCTGCTAAGACCGAATACATATGGAGTGTTCTAGAAAGCTACCCTTTCATTGACCATGTTCTATAGAACATTCTAAAAAAATTCTTATGGAAAATAATGTGACTAATAGATTTGAATAGAAAGCACTTATATTGACTAATCAGCTTGCAGTAAGCTCATGCGCTCATGCAGGTGTGTAAATTGTACTGTTTTTCAAAATAATATTATTTTGAATTATATATATACAGAGGGTGTACTAAAACCCACCGGATATCCTTTTAATTATAGATTCTTTTGAAAATTTCAATACAAAAATTCTAATAAAAAAATGTGGCTTAATGTTTAAATGATAAGCGATTATATTTTACGAATGATAGCGACATGACAAGTGGTAAATGTGTTCCTATAAATGTCGCCCTTTTTAGCATAGTAATAACCTTCGTGGTAACTAGCCGAATGTCTACGCAGGTCTGTCACCTTCGGCAGTTCAGTAGCGACTGACTTTCGTCAACTGTTTTGGCTAAGATTCTAGCGATTGCATTAGAACATCTGTTTGGATGGTGTTCTTCATTACACATAAGGATTTTCGTTTTAGAATGTTTTACAGAATTTGTCAGTGAAAAGGTGTGTGTTTGAGATTTCTGGAACACCTTTATATAAATAACATAAGTAATAGAAATGCCTTGTACATACAGTTTAGATTTTGGTGCTTAATAATACCCAGACAACCAAATTCAGAACAGATTTTGTCAAATACTCACTACAAATTTTGTGGGCAGGAAGACTGCAGATTGCATACAGGAACTGTGATATATTTGACACGTTGCCAGCATATCAGCAGAAATTCAACAAAATCTGCTCGCATAACTGGACCTACTCAGTTTCTGCCAACAATCTGTTGATAGCGTATGTTTTACAGATTCTAATGCCAAAACAAAAGCCAAATGCAGAACACAAATGGCTATGGTTTTGGCGTGGGTTTCTGATGAATCTGATGGCAATCTGCTAACATTTTACTAACTGGGTACTTTGCGTATACATTTTTTTCCCAAAAATCCCTTAATTTTGCGCCGAGAAATCTCGGTCTTAAAACAGTCTGAAACTAAAGTCAAAATACTTAGTTTACATAATTAAGTTGATAATGAAGTTAATAATAATATTAACTGTAAAGAATTTATTGCAGAAAATATTTTAACCAGAACTGACATTTCTCAGTACATAGTTTATTTATTGTGTTGGAAAAAAGATAAGTACGCAAAATATTATTGGGCACCAAGATCCAGCTCGACCACTGGTCGGTATTTCTTGTATTATTAATGATAACTATTTTACTATTCGATTAACACAAGTATAACTTCATAATTTAGTTGTCTATTCTGTGATAAACTAGTTATATTTGAAGAGAATCCTAAAGTCATCTTTTTTATCGACACATTCTAATATAGTTTTTACTCTTGTAAATCTTTTTATTGGCTTTTATGCACAAAATAATACCGGGATAAGTTGCGGATGGTAGAACATCTTTATACTTAAAACACTCAGTTCAGAAGTTTAATAAAAAAGAAATTGAGTACTTTGCGTATACATCTTTTTCCCAACATAAGCTTTGCACCGAGAAATCTCCCCAAGGAGAAATGAAAAGTCAAGATGACGTTAATTTGATGTCATATTGACCAAAATATGACATAAATTTGGTCAATATGATATCAAATTGACATCATCTTGACTTTTCATTTTCCTTGGGTCGGTCTTGGAACATAGTCTGAAGCTAAAGTTAAACTACATAGTTCACATAATTAAATTGGTAATGAACTTAATAAAAATATTAACTGTAAAAAATTTATTGCAGAAAATATTTTAGCACTTTAAATTTTCAATTTTTTATTCGTGAGCAATTTGAAATTGATTTTGTAAAATTGCAAAATTCTTCCGCGCGATTAAAGTACGCATAAAAGCAAAGTCAGGGGTTCACGACTTTATATAAAAAACGAAGAGACATTAAAAATATCACCATGTGAATCTGTTATCTAACATAACCGCAATTATAAAGTGATAATGCTCGGCAACTTATCCTAATATTATTTTATGCATAAAAGCCAAAAAGAATTATAAACGCAAACACTATATTTGACTACGCAGTAAAAAAGATGGCTGATAGATCCTCTTAAAGATATAAGACAACATTTTATTTGTCAGATTATTTAATATAAATCTCGAAAAAAAATATTTTACTTTACACAGGCTTGGTTTTTCATTTGCTGGTTAACTGTTAACTAGTATTTAGTCGATATTCTGTCTCTTTTTAGATAGCAATATAAAAAGATAGAGAGTCGACTAACCTCTGTTTAACAGTTAATCAGAAAATGAAAAACTGGGCTCTCTATAATGATCTCAGACGTTTAAGTACGATATCATGTACAATAATAAATGTATAATAATGAATGTATGAATTAAAAATAAATTAACTTTGTAGTATTAATTTTTTCACAATATGTTAATTATATTTAGATATTCGTTTTTAACTAATTTGTTATTAATTTTTATTAATCTTTTTAAATTGTTAAAAAAAACATTTTAAGATAAATAAAGGTGAAATGCTAAGAGAGAGAGAGAGAGAGAGAGAGAGCGCAGTACGGATATCGAGATGTAACCTAAAATATAACCGCACATCGCACGAAGTTTGATAATACATAGTCTGAGTTTGCTGTTTATTGCAAAAATGGGTGGACGTGCAGCACCACTTTGCAATAACACCTCGACAAAGGGATACGCATCAAAATAATCAAAATCAATCACGTTAACCTGTCGTTTGTAAAACTATAAAAGTGGATTAAAATTGTCAATTCAAAATTCAGCGGGAAAATGAATAAACATGGCGAACCAATCAGAAGCTGGATACCGCGTGTCCAGACTCTGACTAGCGGGTCTCTAGTCGGGAACAATCTTCTTGCGCCTGCGCTCTTGCGCCGCGCCTTACGCCCTCTACTTCAGCCAAACGCGCTGTCTATATATATATTATACGTCTATGGTGCCGTTGGCTTTTTATAAGGTGCGAGCACATGTGTGTTGGAGTAGGTGGATTATTGCAAGTTTGATTTAAACCTTGTCTTTGATATTTTACAAAATTTATTGCGATTACAAAAATTGAATTGCGTGAGTACTTGAGTATTTGTAACGAGACATTATTCATAAAAATTTTATAACTATAAAGTTACGTTTATCTTTTTTGTTCTCTAGCGCAGCAATCGATGGTTAGATTAGGTTAGGTTATCACATTGTGACAGAATACCATACCTGAAAGAGTTGAAAATAACATATTAGAAGATTGATACGTGAATAGCACGAAATCAGGTTGTTTTGGTTATTTGGTCTTCGGTACGACAAATGGTACTGCTGTCGCGCGAAGCCGTTATACAAAATGGTTAAGGGAACGAAAAAGGACCTGTCCGAATCTGTACAGCAGAGAAAGAAGAAACAGCTAAATCCGTTTGAGGTGCACATCAATAGAGACAAGCAGAAAGTATTGGGTCGGAAGAGCAAGAATGATCGTGGACTTCCGGGAGTTTCAAGAGCCAAGGCTATCAATAGGCGTAAGCAGACCCTACTTGCGGAATATAAATTGCAAAATAAAGACAATGTCTTCCTGGACAAACGTATTGGCGAGCGGAATTATGCTATGAGCACGGAAGATAAGGCGATAGCGCGATTTGCCACGGAACGCATGAAGGCGTACAAAAAGGAAAGCATCTTCAATTTGAATGATGAAATATTGACGCACAGAGGGCAGACTCTGGAAGAGATTGAGAAATTCGACGATCCTAGGAGCGACGACGAGTTTAGCGACAACGAGAATGCTGGCGGCAGGCTGGATAGAGATTTTGTAGAGGAGGCCCACTTTGGCGGTGGCACGTTGTCAAAGGCGGACTCTGCATTGTCCAGGAAGGATTTAATTGACCAGCTCATCGCAGAGTCGAAGAAGCGGAAGGCGGAGAAGCAGAAGATCCGCGAGCAGACGATAGATCTCACAGAGAAGCTTGATTCCGAATGGAGGGACCTCTTGCCTCTCATGTCCACTTCCAAGGAGTCTACGGAGGGTACTGATGAAGCGAGAGCTGACACCTACGACATTGCTGTACGGCAATTGAAGTTCGAGGCCAGAGGTAATCCATCGGAGAAGTTGAAGTCGGAGGAAGACATTGTTCAAGAAGAGAAGGAGAAATTGGAGAGGCTCGAAGCTGATAGATTGGCAAGAATGAAAGGATTCATAGGCGACACTAGTAATCGTTATAAGCATAAATCTGCGGATGACCTCGAGGATGATTTTGTAATGGAAACCATCGAAGATAATGACGCTGAGTCAGCAGCTACTGACGCCGATAACGTTAATAATGAAGAAAGTAGCGACGAAGTTGATGAGGATCTTGACGAGGATCTTGACGAGGATCTCGACGACGAGCGGAAAGAAAGTCAATCATTTCCAGCGTGTGCTGATGAGGAAATGATTGAAAACGCAAAAGCGAGGAAGGATGTTGATAAAGAGGAAACAATATGTTCAGAATCATCTAATGCCAATGAGGCAGATTTAAGTGACAAAGATTCTAAGATTGAAAATTTGCATGACGCAGAGTCTGAGAGCGAGGATGATCTCTTGGACTTAAAAATGTCCGGATCGTCTAGTGGGGACGAAGGCGAAACGCAAGTTGCAGTTGCGAGGGAAAGTAAGAAACGTGTTACATTTACCAATGATGCAACGGAAGATGCCAAACAGGCGAATCAGTCGGATAAGATTTGTCCCAAGTCAATTTTGAAACAGAGTAGCACACGTGCACAAGAACCGTCCGACGAAAGTGAAAAGCAGCGGATCAGAAGCGATCTCCTGATGCGAAAAGAGATCATGGAAAAGGCACGAAAAGAATTACCTTACACATACAACGCTCCGGAGAGCTTCGAGGAGCTGGAAGAATTGTTAGGGCAATATAGCGCGGACTATCAATCGGTGATTGTAGATCGTATTATAAAATGTAATCATTGGACATTAGATGGTAGAAACAGAGAAAAGATGTCAACTTTATTTGTATATTTACTACAATATATAAACAACTGTGCCTCTGCGGAGAGTGCTGATGATTTAGTTAAATGTTTCCAAATCTTCGATAGGTATGAATGATTTATATTTGTTAACTGTAGTACACATAGAGGAAAGTCCCCTACTATGAGATAGTATTCTAATACGTATGTGGGATTTCTGTTTAGTTAATAGGCATCGTCAGTTGATTCCATCATGAATGTATTATCTTCGAAGCGAAATCTAGTGGAAAATTCATTGTTAGATTGTGCAGTCGCTGCGAAAAAAGATTTGTGATTGAATTTGGATGTTGAAAGCCTGCTATCTCATATTAGAAATTTATCTCATAATAGAGAACTTTTTTCTATGTATTACACTTGTGTAATAGTGCTTATTATTTAATTTTATTTCAGATTATGTCCTTACCTTTATGATCTTGCACATATGAATCCAGAGAATGCTAAAACCTGCATAAAGGAGGTGATCAAGGAGAAACATGATGAATTTGAGAAAAATAAGACGAGATATCCCGATATGGATACAGTAAGACTTATATTTTCAATAAACGCATTTTTTTTAGCAGATATTACACGTTTGTATATACAAGAGCACAAAAGAAATCTCGGTGTTTAGAAGTTGTGTGTAGATTCCTAAATGGGATAGATTTAAAATTAGAGGTCTATAATATATTCCAATTCTAAATTTCAATACAGATGTGCATAATATTTATGTGATATGTAATAAGTAAGAAGAGAGGAAAAGAGGGGGAGAGATATATAATACATATAGGATATACGTATGTGTGTGAATGTATGTGTATGTATATATATATTTTTATTTTTCAGCTTATATTCTTCAAACTTGTATCGTTGTTGTTCCCAACATCCGACTTTAGGCATCCTATTGTTACTCCTTGTTTAGTATTCATGTCACAAATATTATTGAAAGCTCGTATCAGGAATTACCGGAGCGATCTCTCAAAAGGTCTTTTCATATGTACCCTTATTTTAGAAGTGAGTATATCTAATTTCATTTGTGTTTTGTTAATGTAAAATCGAGGGAGTACAAACTTTTCTAATCGTCGTTTTAAATTACAGTATACAACGCTAAGCAAGCGATTTGCACCGTCCGTAATTAACTTTTTACGAGGTGTTATTTACACAGCAACACCCGCAGATTTAACGAAAAAAATTAAAATCATTCCACCATTCAAGACTACGTGTAAAGTTCTAGTGATCAGTAAAACTGAAAACACAGTTGACACAAATGACACACATATGTTGGCAAGTGATTTAATTCACGAGGAATTGGATGATAAATTTAAAATAAGAGCTTTATTGACTGCACTCAGGCTGCTTACGGAATTTAAAAATCAGTGTCAAGAATTGGAAGCAGCATATTCAATATTGGAGCCTGTTTTTCAATTACTAAAAATAAACAAGTACAAACGATATCCGTCAAACGTAAGAGATCATGTAAAGGAACTGCGTAAAGGACTTAAAGAACTACGAAATAAGAAATTGGAATACATTATGCTTGAGAAGAAAAAGCCGAAACCTTTAAAAACATACGAGCCCAAAATAATGACCATGTAACTATTATATGTATATTTATTCCTTTCTTTAACTTACAATTTTATGACTATAAATATGTGTTGTATATAAAAATTAAAAACCTGTTTACATATAAATATATAGATATAATATATACAACTTTTTTCAAATTATAATTTATTTTATATAATATATATTTATGTTATTAAAATATTTGTTATTTATAGCATAAAATGATGTACGTTATTATATCAAATATTGTCTCTTTGCAGATATGACGGAAAACGGCATAAATCCGTGTCGAAGGAAAAAGCGGAGAGAGAAAAATTACTGCACAAATATAAGAGAGAATTTAAGGGCGCAATTCGTGAAATAAGAAGAGATCGTGACTTCTTAGCCAAAGTACAAATTGGGCAGCAAATTAAGAGTGACGCCGAACGCAAGCGTAAAGTGAATGAGATTTTCGGCGACGCTGCTATGCAGCAAAGCGAGCTCAAGAAACTAAAGAGAAGATAAGTTGAGAAGAAGTGCGATACAAAATTTTAAGCATTGTAAATATATTCTTTAGTATACAATATACATATATTGTAAATATATCTTTTGGTATACAATATATACATATGTATATTGTAAACATACATTAGTTTTAAAGTAGTTTTACTTCTCACCTTTTTTTAACGATAAATTTTTGATCATCTTGTGTTCGCATTTTCTCTTAGAGAACATCAATGATTTTTAAGTTAAAAGCGATTTAACTTGAAAAAAATTAGAAAGATTGCGAATTCAATTAGGGAATCAAACGGATTATAAAATTATTTTTCACATGAACAAAAGGATATTTCTTTATAACGTACCAACAATTTATAAAATATATTCATTATTTTCATATTAAATACGATTTACCTCGATGGAAATCTGACTTTAATATTTTACAAGGATATACATATTTAATATTTAAGGACATCGCATCAAATAATGTTTTTCAAAGTTTCACTGAAGAAAAGTCCAAAACTCTTATTGGGAGACAAAAGGAAAGGCGCTATGCTACATCGACTCGACAATAGATATTATTTACAGTTTAACAGAATAACGTACTACCCGTGCTATATTTGTATATGTAATAATTTCAATATTTAATTTGTTTTAAATTAATAATTGTGTTTACAACCGTATGACAATGCTTGTCTCTATAAATTATCACTTTGTAATAGAGACATTCTTCTGGTTGCATATAAGCTGTACGATTTTTTATTAAAAGATGATTTTAATGTTACAATGAGAGAGAGAGAGAGAGATGTGAGGTAAGTTTATTTATTTCGCGCATGCGCGCTCCGACGCCTAGCATCAAAGGCGCCGACGGAGAGTCACGCCACTGTACACACCGTGGTAAGACGGAGCCGCGGTAGACTCCGTCGCTGCAATCGCGACTGACGCGACTGGATCATCTGGGGCTCCAGAAGAGCCAAGATTCTCGCGGTGATTGTGACTGTGTGTGTGGCACTGTGGCGGTCGGTTTGCGGGCGGATTTTCTCATAGAACCCTTGAGATGGGTGTCGTTTAACCCCGTCCTTCGGTAAATCGGCGTCCGCTCCGTGTCTCCAGCGTGTCACGCGCGTGATCTCGCGTATAAGGAACTCCTCGATCTCGCTCTCGCCCTCTTTTGTCTCTCGTTGCTTCGTCGCACCGTAATCTAGGAGCCGAGCAAAATGCCTGTCTTCCACACCAAGACTATCGAGAGTATCCTCGAGCCGGTGGCTCAGCAGGTAATATTCAAGTGTCAGGACTCCACGAGGGAGTCGTCCACCACCGGGGGTTGTCTCGTCGAGAAATTCACTCGGCGATTAATTCGACTAATTGCCAAAGTTCCGTTTGTAAATTAAAAAAAAAAGTCGCGAACGAGAGGGTCAGACCGCGCTGCTTCTCGTCGGATCGTCGCGGCGCGGACCGACGTTCTCACCGCGTGTGACGTTTCGTGCCGCTTTTAATCAATCGACGCGTACCATCACGCCGACCGCCTTCAATACCGCTCCTTGTTTTGCTCGCCGCGAAAGTCGCGCTTGAGCGCCGGCGATGAAATTCGGCCGTTCTCTCCCTCGGGCGAGGCGGGCGGTTACATACGCGAGCGCGTCCGTGTTTTGACGCGGGTTGAATTTACAGCGCGCGTAACCCCGCGTTGTCTCGTCCAAAATGCTTTTTATAGAACTGTGACATCATAGCCTGCATATAGAACGGGGGGGCTGCATACATCCACATCTTTCTCGGGCGCGTGTCGCGCGCGCGGTTTCTAAAAACGAAACTCAATACTCCTGGGCGCCGAGGGAGAAAATCTTCCCTCTTGCAATTCCACCTGTCCAAATAAGGACATGTCGGTGGCACGTGTGCGGTGTCGCGCCGTCCCACGCCTGTATTCGTTCGCGCATATTAGAATATTAATGAGCCGACTTTCGTTTCGTACCTCAATGCGTCTCGTGAGTCAGGGTACGCGTGTATTTTTACATATAAATACAAGGCGAAACACGCGGCCAACGTACGTGTTATGTAATTTTTGCAGCGCCCAATTTGCCTCTCGCAAAACCACTTGACAACACTTTCGAGTTTATCGTCATTTTATTTGGATATAGATTATTATATGCCGTTGTATGTATATTATATATATTATATTATATATTATAACGAGAAAGTTTAATAAAAAATTTTTGACGTTTCTATTTGGTTATATATTATTATATGTATATTATAATATATATTATATTATATATATTATTATAACAAGAATATTAATAGAAAACTTTTGACGTTTTTTAGTACGAGACAAAGCGCACGTAAAGATTTTTTTACTCACGACATTTTCAACGTTGCTACACACAGAAAAATATTATTGTACAGTCAAGAAAAGTAATTACTCAGTTTATTTTATTCCGTTTAAGTAATAGTTTGCTCCAACAAAGAATATTTTCTTAACAATAGTTTTAAGATATACTTGTTACTAGTCTTAGAAAAGCTTGCCATCTTATACTCAAAGAAAGAATTTATTCTTCTTTGAAGAAAATTAGAAAACTTATGGAAGAATTCCGTATGCTTCTTTTAATAAAGTCAGAAGAAACAAAATTGTTTTGCTTCAAATAATTCTATGTATTCTTGTTTCAAGTACTAGACTTACTAAGAACCAGAATATGAGTAAATATCACACTTGCGACGACATTATGATAGATTTACGGATATATAAACTTATCAAATACTTAATGGAACAATTAATATTTACTTGCAGGTAGTATATATTTTTCTGTGTGTACCCATACAGCACCGAGCAATGTTGCAACGTTTCTGAAATGTTTCTGAAAGCTTCGGTGCTATATGGGTAGGAACCTCGTTGCCAAGATTATGGCACAGATATTTATTAAATTAAACTTTTGTTTGCTTGTCAGCAAAATCGCAAAAATATTTGCGGCAGAAGTGTTCGTAAAGTTGTCAACAATAACTCTGCCAAAATATTGCCAAATTCATACATTTTTGTCGCAACTGTTGCCACCAAGTTACCGTAAAGTTGCTGCCGCGGTTTGCGTGTCTCTTCTGCTTGCAATATTGCATCAAATGAGAACTCGCCGAGGGGTAAACCGCTGACGAAAATCAAGGCACACCAATGCCTACTAATGCCAAGTGGGCATTGCTTTATCTTATTTTATCTTGTTTTATCTCTTCAGATTCTTTGCAATGCCCCAGCAAGGCCAACACCCACTAATGCCCCAAAAACGCCTAGTAATGCCCGAAATTTGTACACCACAATGCCTACGGCGGTTTACACCTCGGAATTTACCTCGTTGGCAAACTTGCATACAACATTTTTTTAGCAAGTTATCAGCAAAATGCCGACTAAATGCTAACTGAGTATGAAGAACACTGTAGTTTTCTTAAATGGATATCTATGTTTTTGGTACATTCTCAGATAACAGTGTTTGCGCGCACATTTTGCTTTATGCATGCAAACTTATACGAGAGTTGCCCGAGTTTTGCTCGTAAGACACGTTTAGTCTGTGCACGCAAGTGGTTCGTGTATTATACGTATAATTTTACGTGCAAATGTCTAACAAGCCACGTACAAAAAGGGCTTAACAACGCAAGCAAAATCCTACCTCAGACGGTTGCGCGCAAAATGTTTTCTGGGTTTATCTAATAGGAGTCGATGGAAACTAAAATCATATTTAGTGAAACATTGCTACTATGCAGCGAGATAATAGGCATCTCAAGTTATTAAAGTAGCAAACTAGAGTGTAAGCTTTTTTGGGTTGGAATGTCGGAAAAAATAATCTAATTTTTCATGAAACATTCATTAACACATAAATTGCTCGTTATTTCTCATTGTTGACTGCAGCATTTCTGCTGTAATACTTTTAATTAAGAGCCACAGCGGTCTTGTGTTATCCGAGCAATTTGTGTGTTCTAATAAATTTTTATTTAAAAAATTGTTTGTTGTTCACCTTCTCTCTTTTTCTCTCTCTCGCTCCCCTTCCCTCTCTCCTACATTTCAACTGAAACTAAAAGATGCTTACTAAATATGATTTTAATTTATATTTATTCCTACTACAAAAAAAAATATATATGCAAAAGATATAAGTATCTATTTAAAAATGATGATAACATTCGTAATATAAAAAGTTTACGAGTAAAAGTTTTTTCACGTACGCTTTGTTGCAGACTAAAAACCGCAAACAAACTTCTTTCATTAAACTTTCTTGGGACTTCAACCGGTTGCGAGATATTTGTCCAGACATTTATGAATGGACACTGTGTAATTACACATCAGGTTTTTTTTATAGACACAAGTAGAGGAGAGTCCCCGTGTATGAGATACCGAATTCATCTTTTGTAATTGCCGGATATCTGTAGGCACGATTAAAAAATATAATAGCTTATTTTGAAGGGAATTTAATAAACCTTAAGATGCTGAAATGTTTAAAAAGGTTTAAAAACTCACCTCGATAGAACTTGACGACATCCAATTTCTTAAATCTTTTTTCATAATGACTACGCGCACGATTGAACAATGAATTTTTCACCAAATAGTTTTTACTCCAAGAGTAATAAGCTCATGGTGGAACCAACCGATGGCGCTTATTAGTTTAGCAGAAACCCCGCTACTTTATATTAGTAGCCTACCTCATAATGCGGGTCTCTCTTCTACAATCGTCATAGTATAACTAGTAGGTCCACTCTCTGTCGGCCCCTTTGATCTTTGCGGTCCCGATTACGTGGTATTCCGCCATGCATTCGGGCTGCCCCGATGGAAATATTTTGCTACGAAATCGTAGAGAAGTGAAATAATTTATTGAAGAATTACTGAATGTAACTCAAAATAAATCATGATTTTTCTTATAACGTACACTGCTGTGAAATATAAGAAAAGCAAGGTATACTATTGAAAGGTAATTAAAAAATTACGAAATATAATTTAGATATGAAATTTGAATTACTGAATTTAACTAAAAATTATATTACTTTTTAATGAAAATGATTTTTCACTGAAATATCGATGAAATGTTAATGAAGCAGGAGAGATTTTCGATCGACAGAGATTTTCAAAAATATTTTGTCAAAGTTTTCTTGTATTCTCAGTAAAATATTTCCATGGGGGTGCTCTCTTTTGGATAATTATGACTTTGGATAATTATCATCATAATCAAGAGTCAATTAAAGGCTAACACTCTTTTCTTATTTATATTATATAACCAAATTGAAACTGAATCAAAATTAAGGAAAGGTGACCAGCTATAAATATTTGTATAAATATGGGGTTGGTGCAGAACTATGCAGAGAACGTGCAGTTTTATTTACATGCGACTTTATATAATGTTATTTACGCAAATTAATAAATTTATGCCTTGTTGTCTCTACAATCCACGTGGATTAACACTCATTCTCAAAACTGTCTTAATAATTATTATGTTCTCTGTAGGTATCGAGACTTGTTATTTTACATGAAGAAGCTGAGGATGGAAATGCGATGCCAGATCTGGGAAGGCCTGTACAGGCCGTTAGCATGGCCGTGACTAATCTTGTGAAGGTGAGTGTTTGTACTGAAACTGCTGAAACTGCATAAATAATTTAATACTAGAAATATCATTGACTGGGCTACATTTTACTTATGTTAGTAATTTTATATAATAAGTTTTATATACATATATGTCTGTGTATATTTTTTATTTACTTATTCCATTTTTTTTCATTTTATTTATAATCCCAGTAAGTAAACTGTCTGCAAACTGGCAACAGATTTTCTCAGATATTGCAATAGATCTGGTATATTTGGTCCGATTTGGATTAAACCCACACTTTGTTGGCAGTTGGTCAGAGACAGAATCCGCCAGATCATTTCATAAACATTTAAATGATAGATAATAATTCATTCGCTTCAACTTACAGCCAAGAAGTGGGATTTGGTTTGTAATTCAGAAACTTAATATACAATTCATCTTTTCCTCCCTTCTTCTCTTTTATACATTCTTACATAAATTCTATACGGGGTGGCCCATTTTAAGTGATGCATTGATTTTTCTCGAAAACTAAGGATTGTATCAAAAACGTTTCAAACAAAAGTTGTTTTATTCGAAGGGGAACATAAGATGGTATCATTGGTTTGACCTTGGGTGAACGTGCCAAGGTTCATATAAAGGTCAACTTTGTTTTTTTTTCAATGGAACCCCCTATTTTTCATTAACATTCTTGTAGCTTATCTCGAGAGCTTTCCAAAACACTATAATAAAGTATTTTTTCATTGAGTATTTTTCGAGTTATAAGGCTTGAAAGATCGGTGGTTCATCCAGCCAGTGAAGGCAACATCAGTGGTTGGCTCAACCGATTTTTTAAGCCTTATAACTCGAAAAGTACTTAATGTAATGCTATTACAATCTGTTGTATTTCCGCTGACGGATTCTATCGCAATCCAAAGTCTGTAGCAGGCATTTTTTTTTAATTTATCCTCGATAGACTCGAGTATTCGGACTACATATGTCTTACATCTATATTATAATTTGCAGGTCGGGAAAGAAACGATAAACTCATCCGACGACGCTTTACTTAAGCAAGACATGCCAGCGGCGTTGCAGCGCGTTGAAGGTGCTTCCCGTCTTCTGGAGGAAGCATCGGCCATGTTGAAGGAAGATCCGTATTCTGGACCTGCTAGGTGGAATTTTATGAAACTTGTATATGAGGATACCATGTAAAATTCTCAAATATCAGTTTGCAACAGTTTATTGTTTTATTTTATAGAAAAAAGCTTATAGAGGGCTCGCGTGGTATCTTGCAAGGCACCAGTTCGTTACTGTTGTGTTTCGATGAAAGCGAAGTGCGAAAGATCATACGTGAATGCAAACGTGTACTGGATTATTTGGCTGTTACGGAGGTCATCGAGACGATGGAGGACCTGGTGCATTTTCTTAAGAATTTAAGCCCGTGCCTTAGCAAAGTGTCGAGGGAGGTGAGCGCTCGTGAAAAGGAGTTGACGCATCAAGTACATCGGGAGATATTGGTGCGCTGCTTGGAACAAGTGAGTGTTGGAGGGTTATATTTAGATACTTATTATCCAAATGAAATCTTTACGGTCTATTTCTGAAGGATACCAAAATTGGAATATTATTAAATTGATTATCAATTTAATTAGGCATTCCATTTTGACTTTAGCTTAAGATTGCGTTTCAAGACCGAAAGTTATCGACGCGTAGTTTGCTGCGATAAAAAAAAGATATATACGCAAAAATATTATTGAAATAAGCATTAAGATCCAGCCTGACTAAAGCGCATGAGGCGTATTATTATATTTATTACCCATTTTTAGATAAAGAATGTATAAGATAAATATATTGTAGTTTGATGCTGCTAGAGTGTAAAATATCAAGCGTCCGTCCAACGACTCGAGATACTAATAATTAATGTGCCCGCAGGTAAAGACACTCGCTCCAATTCTGATCTGCTCCATGAAGATCTTCATCCATATTATTTCGCAAGGTGGGAAAGGCGCGGACGAGGCGGCAGAAAATCGCAACTACTTGTCCGGTAGAATGTCCGACGAGTTGAATGAAATTATTCGGGTGCTGCAATTGACAACGTACGACGAGGAGGAGTGGGACGCCGATCAATTGACTGTAAGTCACTTTGCACCTCGTTCGACGCGGTTGCGACTCAAATAACATAAACGTATTATATTTTATTACGCCAGGTACTGAAGAAGGCTCAGAGCGCCATAGAGTCCAGGATACGAGCGGCTTACGACTGGCTGGATGACGGACTGGCTCTGAGGGGTGGCGTAGGTGAGAAGAGTCTTCGTCAGATCATAGAACAGGCGTTGCGCTTAGCGGAACGTTATCTGCCTCCGTCGCAGGCAGAGCCCATATCTAAACTGGCCTCGCAGATAGTCACCATGACTGACGCTCTTTGCGAATTGCGCCAAAACGAAAAAGGTAACTTTTTATATACAATTGCACGTCGATCCCTTTTTTTGTACAATACGTCACGTATGCGTTCAGTACGAATAAGACTCGATTTAAGCACCACTGAGGATGATCTCAAGGTAGATTGAAACGTTTGGTTTAATTATATTGACTCGAATTATATTTATATTACATAAATGTAACAAATATTGAATTTTTCATGTATTGACTTTGATGATGTAGTTACATTACTAAATTATTAGGCTGTACAGCCTTTACTTGAGCATATTATATAAAATTGAATATCGTGAGTGTCTTGATATCTATTTACTGTAATCTTAGACTTGATTAAGTTTAAATGATCGTACGTATGTGTCCACAAAGGCACTACGCCCCAAGCGGAAGCCTTAGCACGCGGTATTAAAGAGAAGCTAAACGAGCTCCGCGGCTTGGTGGCCTCCGCTTTGGTAGCAGCGGATAAATCGGGGACCGCACAAACGGCGCACACGGTGGCAGGTCGATTGGAACAGGCGAATAAATGGCTTCTGAATCCGCAGCACGATGATAAGGGACTCGGTAAAAGGGCTATAGCTTTAATAATACACGAGGGAAAAAAGGTACGATGTAATCATCTCCCACTTGTATGTAACAAGCATTTCAGCCATGTTAAGTATTTACTGCGTACATGATGTAAATGCAGTAACACTGCATTTATTATTATTGTTGATTCTTTATATGATACCTCAAATCGGTCGTATTCACTCTATAATGCTTAATATCTTCAATGCTGCGCATAGAAAGAATGAGCAACCTATAGCAAATGTGAGTCCGTAAATACATTTCGTTATTCTTCTCAAGATACAATATTTATGATCGATGTTATCGCCGAGAGCTATACGGGGTGTTTCGAGCATCGCGGATAATTAAATTCTAACAGCGCGTCTCCAATTTTCAATTTATAAATTCAGATGAGATTGATTTCAAGAAAAATTTTTAAGTGCTCTCGCGTACGAAAAGTCTCGTAATAAATTTCAAGTAAAACTTAGTACTTGCTGGGCTTCAAATTCAAGGTTTACAATTTTTATCTCAAGCTTAGCTTAAATATATTTAAAATCTTATAAAAATAAATTCTTTAATTTATAAATTTAGACGAGATTGATTTCAACAAAATTTTTTAAGTACTCTCGCGTACGAAAAGTCTACTAATAAATGTCAAGTAAAACTTACTTGCTGGGTTTCAAGTTCAAATTTTACAATTTTTATTTCAAGCTTAGCTCAAACACACTTAAAATCTTGCAAAAATTAATTATGTTTATATACATATTTTTTTTAATACACGTGTACCAACGATAACTATGTATGTCAATTCTAAATTATCTCAGAGTCTTTTATCGAGAGAAAATCTGCGATGCCCGCAGCGCTCCACGTCAATTTTCCTCGAAAGTTTCGTGTCTTTTGTCATCACAGCGACAATTTTATGTTCGGGAAACAGGTGGCCGAGGGCTTACCGGGTATACACAAGGCGGAGATCTTACAGTTGTGCGATGAAGTGGACAACCTGTCTCATCAGCTCGCCGACCTCTGCGCCCATGGCCAGGGCAACACCCCGCGCGCTCAGGAAATCGCGCGGCAGCTGTCTCACAAGCTCTACGAATTGAAGAACAGGATACAGCAGGCCGTTGTGTCTCGTGTCGTCGAGGACTTTATTGACATCACTACGCCCTTGAAACAATTCACGGATGCGGTTTTAACTCCCGCGGGCACACCAGGACGCGATCAGAACTTTAATGATAAAACATGCGCGTTGCAGACGTTCTCGAGCAGAGCGGCAAAGACCGCGAGGATGGTCGCGGCTGGCGGTACGTAATACCGCACATTTGACATACGTATCGTATTAAAAAATTCACAATTACCTTTGACTCTTCCGAAGAAAAAGATTCAGAGTTACTCGGGAATAATATGAGACAATCCTACTTGTTTTTTGTTTGTTACGTGAATGTTTTTTTATCATATCCCCCAATCTTATGTACGCTCATAAATTGTCCGTAATATCTATTATTTAAGACAGTCCTTTTTTTCTGGAAAAAAAAACATATTCCTCTACTTTCGTTCTTTTCTTCTTTCTGAAAGATTAAATTTGCAGGAAGCGGAGGAAACAAGAAGCTAGCCGAGGCCCTGACCACTAGTGCCTCGCAGGTGGAATCGTTGACGCCGCAGCTGGTTAACGCCGGACGGATTCGCATGACTTATCCGGACAGTAAGGCCGCGGACGAACATTTCGAAAATTTGCGGCAGCAATACGCGGAAACTATGCAACGGGCGCGGGCGTTGTGCGATGAGGCGACCAACAGCGGCGATTTCATCCGTACGTCCGAGGAGCAGATGCAGAAGCACACGTTCCTCTGCGAGGACGCGATCGCCAAGGCCCTGCCGCAGAAGATGGTCGATAACACGGCGGCTATCGCGCGCCTTGCGAATCGAGTTATACTCGTAGCGAAGCAGGAGAGCGACAACAGCGAGGATCCCGCCTTTATACAAAGAGTAAATCATGCCACCGATGTTCTTCAAAGCAGTACGTACCATTTACATTAATACTTAACAATTCTTCTCGTGATTTTAATATATGTATATGTTGCGCCTAAATACATTGAAATCACTTACATTCACAGCACATTGCGGACGGTATCGATATTTTTTCAATGAAACCATGTTTCTCTTATTGAAAATGTATCTTTTTTCATAATTTGTCTCTCCCTCTCTTCAAGTTATTGAAAAGTTGTGTTGGATACTTTTTATAAATTTTTGAGAGTGAGTGCGAGAGGAAGGCAGGAGCAGAGAAAGAAGAAAGTATAATTATGTAAGACAAATATGGTTTTATTTAAAAAAAAATTCATAAAATTAAAAAATTTTTTAATTTCAAAAAGTTACATGCATTGTACTTTCTTCTTAAAACTGTAGAATTGACTTTTATTTTGAACTATAACTGTTTATCGAAAAGTGATTCAAGTAAACTTATAAATATAAAACTTGAAGAGACTGTTTTTGTAATTTTTCTGTAATTTATCGTTATGTATATATCTAGGCGTCGCTCCAATGGTCCAAGATGCAAAACTGGTGGCAATGAACATTCATGATAACACTGCGATATCGCGCTGGAGAGAAAATAATCGCGCGGTGTGTATTTTTTGTGTTACAAGTATACTTAAAAAAAATTTACATATAGAACGTGTATATTTTATTGCGGTGTGTTTTTAGTTGTTAGCCAATGTTGGACAAGTTCGTAAAGCCATTGTAGTTCAGCCGGATTTGGTGCCGCCTCTGGAAATGTCGCAATTACATATTAATGACGGTAAGTTTATTTTTTGGATATGTTACATATACGAAATATTTCTAAGAAGTAATTGACAAAATAAGCCGTTTTTAAAACAAGTCGAAATAAAGTTGATTTGGTAATCATTTTTAATAATTAATTGGCATATAATTTTTATAGGAAAAAGAGTTAGTTTACAAAGATAATAATTATTTGTTAAATTTATTCTTAGTAATTTCTTATATAGAATTATAGCATTACATGATTATTGAATTCTATAATTTGTAAATATGACAAGATAGGAAATAAATTATGAAGCATTTTCTTATTCTAAAAATAATTTTTTATCTTTTTTACATTATTATGTGTCAAGCATGGGACTAAATTAATAAATATAAATACGAATATAGTCATTAGATTGCATAGAATTCTATTAATAATATTAGCTACCAAATTCAATATTTAATCTTTACTTGCTAAGTCAAATCACGTGTATTGTTTTGATATATTACTTTTTAAAATAATAATATTAATTTTTATAGATAGTCTAAAAATAAATTTTTTAAATAGAAAACATGTAATATTTAGACGAGAGTATAAGATATCACATTGCAATGTCGGTGTAATAGTAACGAAATAAGTTTGCTGAATATATCTTTTACAGATCAATTTCCAATCCGATATAATTATTCCAAAACTAAAGGTATCTGTTTTGATGACTTGATTTATGCATGATTGTGTGCAATATAATTTTACATATACATTTTATTTTCGAATCTATATTTAAAAAAATGATAAAGACTGAATTACACATATATACATATACAGGGTGTTTAAAAAAGATGGAGAGCCCTGAATAACTCCGAAAATATGCAAGATAGAAAAACATGTTTCAGACAAGAGCTTTTGTTTGAGACATTTTTCTTTGCTGGACTAGTTTTTGAGATATTTTACTGTCCAAGTTAAAATGGGACACCCTGTATATGTATGTATGTAATTTAACATAGTATATGGTAAACAAATGTATGTACATGTGCTTATAACGTTTGTGTGTATGCGCGCGCGCATAAGCACACAAACACACATGCACACACATTTGCTGTGTAACACTTCACAGTACATTCCATAAAATTGCATTAACATTATTGCATCAGTATTTTCTCGCACTCATCTTTATCATACGTAAAATGCAGATCAGAGTAATAATGTTTGAAAATTTAGATTTATTGCTCATTAGATTGTAATATTAACTATATTTACTCCGGTTAGTAGAAAACCCCGATATTTTGCATCAAGAATTGGCTTCTGACAACGAGTTAGACAAATCAATTCATGATGGAGGTAATTGATAACATTTCCATGAATAATTATTGTTTTTTTTATGTTTTAATGTTTCCTTTCTCCGATATGAAGCATGCGATGAATTGAAGATAAAGCTCATGTTTTTACACACACACACACACGCGCACACAAATAGAACGTTATGAATATGATTATATGAAATAGGCAGAAAAAAATAGAAAGAAATAAAGATGTAATGTATTATTACTTTTAAAATAAGTAATTACTTATGTTACTTTTATTATGCATTTGCATAAGTTTAAGATATATTTGAGATGAACTTCTATCCTATATTTAATAAATTAAACTGCATTTTGCTCCTAATCATACAATTTTCACAATGTTTCACGGCGATTTGTTTATAATTTCATGGATAATATTAACGTTTTCATTAATTTATAGTTTCTTTCATCATCATATACTTGGACATTATATAATAATTATGACATATAGAAAAATGATTTAACGATAGTCCATTGAGATGTGTTGAAATAATTATTTAGTTTTACATTCAAAATCAGCATGATACTAACATATTAATATTGGATTGATTCATAAGTATATTCTATTATAGAATATTATTGACAATGAATTTCTTTTCTCTTCTAAGAAACTAATATTTTACCCACAATAGCTAATTATTTTAACTGCTTCGAGCAGTTGAGAGGATATCATTTAAGAATCAGTACTAGTATTATTATAAGATTTTTATATATAAAAATTCAGTTTGTTAGGTAAAATGAGGCTTATTTATGAATGAATCTAATATATGATTACGTGTAGAAATGTATGTAGAAATATTTTCTACAAGATTTGTCTTATATTTCAATGTGGTGCGTTTTTGCTTTTAATGCTACATGGATTGCTAGGTTATTACGATTATCACATCGATGGTAATTATTTAAACATCTTTGCATTCTTATAATAGCAATACAATTCTATTTATCACTCTTCCACTTTTTTCTTTTTGTTAATAACATATGCTGTGTGAGGAATCTGTGAAGAAACTGTTTCATTAAGTAACAAATAATAATATTCCTTTTAAACATTAAAATAGTAAGCTTAATGTCAACCCATCTGGCGAATTTTATTAAATTCGTTACAACTTTCGACCTTACTTCAGGTCCTTTTCAAGTAACAATACTGCAAATCAACAAAATCAGAGATTAAAATTATTAATTAGTCATCTAGTAAAAGAGGAAAAGAATAAATTAACGAACTAAATAAGAAAACATTATAATAATAAGAAAAACTCGTAGATAAGCGAGTCATAATTATCCGTGAGATAGAGTCAAAAGATAAAAATAAATAGATTTGATTATACGATTCTACGTTACATTTAAATTTTCAGGATTAGTTTGTTAATTAATGGTGTTATTAGCTTTTTGATAAAAAACATTTCAGCGATTTCTTCGTTTCTTCGTAGACGCTCACTACTATGTAAAATTGTTGGTGCCGACCAATTAATCTCAACTTACTTTTAAACGTTGCAAATCTCTCGTATCTACAATAGTTTATCTATTTGTTTTATACAGTATTTGCATTTGTTTGTAAGCTCTCTGTAATGATAAAGAGTTTTGCACCAAACCTTTATTATGACTATTTGTAACAGACCGTTTTAGATTTTCATATTTTGAAATTTTTTCTACACAAGGAAAGGAATCGGTATTACAAAATTGTATAACATTATTTAAATGATATGTTTATTTACTGTGCATAGAAGTAGCACCTCCTCGTCCACCTTTACCAGGAAGTAATATCGCACCTCCGAGACCTCCTCCTCCTGAAACGGACGACGAAGAAGAAATGTTTATGCATGCTCCTCAACCCAATCAACCAATAATGGTAAGAGGAATGTTCGATTATTGTACATATTTGTTTGTCTGAAAATTACATAATAAAATTGTGTATGTGAAGTTACATTGTGAGATTTGTTATATAGATGGCTGCCCACGGTTTACATCAAGAAGTACGGCAATGGTCCAGTAAGGACAATGAAATTATTGCCGCGGCGAAGAAAATGGCTATCTTAATGGGTAGACTATCGGGCTTAGTTAGAGGCGAGGGTGGTAATAAACGGGATCTTATCGCATGCGCTAAAGCTATCGCGGAAGCTTCCCAGGAAGTAACTCGTCTTGCAAAGGAGCTGGCGAGAGAGTGTACTGATAAACGCATTCGAACGGTTTGTTATTGCTGATTACATTGATATTTTTCATTGAAATAACATTATTTATTACAATTTACACGTACTTTCTGTGCAATTGTGTAATTGTAATCAATTTTTAGAATCTACTTCAAGTTTGCGAGCGTATACCTACCATTGGAACACAATTGAAGATACTGTCTACAGTCAAGGCTACTATGCTTGGAGCACAAGGTATCGTTTGCATTTTCTTTTGCATATATTTACATATTGACTATATTCAATAACAGATCATGATATCGCCAGTCTAATTAACTGTTAAGGAATATTCATTAGTGACCCTAGGATGATGTAATCTCTATATGAAACATTGCTTAATTGAAAGAGAAATCATGTAATTAACAAAGAAATTAAATTGTTTGTATATAGAGACACTTCCGACCTGGGAAGAGCTGATGCTTTATGGTAAAAAAGTTGTAAACTTGCTTGATGTTATCTTTATTTCTCTCTCTTTCGATGTTGTTTCTTTCGTTCAATTTAAAGACATGATTTTTATGCAATATACACAGCATTTGAGACACAGCATGCATCCTCTACTTCTTTTTCGGAAATGGAATACAAGAAAGTGATATACTATCATCCGATGTTGAATATATGATCTTTCATATTATGTATGTAATAGTAGATTACATATATAATATCGGCAAATTCTGTTCTAATACAGTTCATTAATTTAGCGATCTATGAGAGAAGGCTAATATGGTTTTGGTGTTTTAATTTACATTTTAAATGGTATGCCGTTGGTATGCGTCTGCTCATCGTGGTGTAGATGAATTGATTGGCTGCAGTAAGTGAATCATAAAATTTGTAGCAAATTTTTAGGTAGGAAATTTCTTCGATAGCAATTCCATAGAAAATATAGCAGACCATATTTTCTATATGTATAGTACAATTGTAGCCATTTAAACCATCTCTCGTGGTCAATAATAAAAAAACTATTTTAAAGAAAAAAGTTAAATGGTGTAACAATGTACGACTTTCTGTGATATATTTTCGTTAAAATAACATGTACCCGCAATGTAAATCGTTGCACATTGGAAGTGCATTTTCGTGAAAAACAATAACATTATAGACATTATATATGTATAAGTTTGATTTCATAACGCTATTCAACTTGTTTCTCTATCAGGTTTTCCTTTATCGTCAACCATAAGAGAGATATTTCTTGTTTAAATTTCTAAAATCATCCTGTATAGTACAACACAGTTTATGATTTATCATTCGTATGTACTATAGTAAACAGACGAATGCATTAAAAATTTAAGCGATTCATATTATTTTCACGAAAGCTTTCTTTAAGTAATCATCTCATTCTCACCCTCTATTTCGAAACAGTGATCGACATCGACGACCTTGTCTATGCATGTATTTGTACGTAATTACCATAGCTCGCATGTTTAGCTTACGATTTTATAAAAGTTCTCGGTTTGAAAAATAAAATTTTTCAAAATACAGTAATTTCGAAAAAACGGAATCACGTTTTTTTTTTAGTAGAATTATCTATACATTAAATTTATATTCTAGATATTTATATATTACTTTAAGAGATAATTGATTATATGCTGCATGTAAATCGTACTTTATATTACTATTATAATTTATTTAATTATATTTTACTTGCACTTTAGCACTTATAAACTTAAAACAATATTCGTCTATTCAGCTCTATTATGTAGTGTAGAATGACGTTACGTTTGTATTGTTGCATATTATCATTTCATCCATTTTTTACTTGACATGATGCCATTTGATACTTTAGATAATTTAGATAAAACATTATTATCGATCCTGTATTATAAAAATATAATTTTATAATCAAGTGATTTTGTGGCAGAGTATAACAGTTTTAGAAGTCCATGAACGAAATATATGTAAATCTAGACGTATTGAAAAGTTATTTTTCCAACTTAATCTGATAGACTTTTTTGTAATGTAAACACAGGTACGGAGGAAGATCAAGAAGCGACAGACATGCTTGTCGGAAATGCCCAGAATCTAATGCAAAGCGTGAAAGAAACGGTACGTGCAGCGGAATGCGCCAGTATAAAGATTCGTACAGCTTCTGGTATGAAGTTGCGCTGGGTACGTCGTCAGCCGTGGTATCAATACTAAGTAATGCAAGACTAATACAGTTTTCAAGAGAAGAACACGCAAGATCTTGCTTAGTGTTTACATATACAGCACATATATATTTATATATATGTGTGTGTGTGTGTGTGTATATTCATAATCGCCAGACAACATCGAAAACTAGAAGCTTTAACTAAAAATTTTGGTACTTCTCACAAGTTAAATTTACTTCAATACAATTTTGGGCAGGGCGGTGGCCGATTTGACATGAGATGACCCATATATATTGTATGTATATGTATGTGCTGCATATACAATATTAGCAGAAATTTTTTCATATAATTTTTATGTATTAGGAATAAATCAATGATATATATCTCTGTGTTGCAAGTACTAATTATGTGCTACATATTACATTTAATAGATTTTTAAATTAATTTATTTCTGTATCTTACTCTTCTCGCATGATCACTTACGAGCTTTTATGGAAATGTTTCAAAAGGAAATAACATTCACGTACACATGCAGATTCTCTAAAACGCACAATCTTCTGTAGATAATTAAGCAGTAATAATGTTTATTTTTCATTATTACAATTTTATAACACTTGATCGATTTTTCTATGACATATAATGAAACAACCGAACGTGTAACAAAGTTTTTAATTTTATTATCACGAATCTAATCGCATAAGTTGAAAACTAATCATTGATCTCTTAGTTAGCTATGTTAGATGAAAGATTTTTAGCATATTACATTAAAAAGACTAATAATTTAATAACAGTAATATTATATAATATATAGATAGAGAAAACTACTATATATATATACATATATAGTAGTTGTAATATGATAGCAATAGTATATTTTACACTCAGACACACAGACAGATAGACATACATATATTTCTGCCTTAATTTTTTTTCTAGTTGTATTAAAATATTTACTGTCCAAACAAATGTTAATGAAAACATTTTTGATAAAATTAAGCATAATTATATTTGTAAAAGCCATATATTTATAACATTTTTATCTTTTTTGTATATGTACAATAATATCATATGGACTAAAATGTCATATTTTTACAAATTAAGTATGAATATAATTATATAATTGCTATACATTAAATAGTCATATGTATATAGGCATACACACCAATTAAAAATATATGTACATGGTAGAATTATCTAAGTTTATAAAACTGAATCATTTTTAGTATTTATGAGATACAAACACATTTAAAGAACAATTTAAATTTATAAAATTTAACTGTATTAAATTTAAAAACGTAGAGTGTCAAATCACACACATTTTGTGTATGTTGGTGTATTAAAAATAATACTATATATAATTTATTATTTATTATATGTAATTATTGTTTCTTATCGTTATATTCTAATTGAAAAAGGGAATTTTGACAAAGCGGTTGCGCTTTCAAAATCAGCAAATAATAAACTTAGATATCTGCCACTATAAATTGTACATATGAATACAATAAAAATATCTATTTTTATATAAGTTATATGGTAATAATACTATGAATCACATTTTTGGTTTTTACGTTCCCTTATTTTTTTAATGGTGCTAACATGTGCAATATGATTCAATTAATACTGCTATCTAATGGAAAGTTCTAATTATATGGCAATAATTAGTTCTTAGTATATGTTATATGTGTGTATACGTATACATGTATATGTAGCTTGTATGTATGTATATACACACACACATAGATACGTACATATACAACAGAATGTAAATCAATTCTAAAAATGGATGACAGGGATTGTTACGATACGTATTAATTTTTAGTGATAAATGTATTTTGAAATATTGTACTTTTATGTAACTATATGAGTAAATAAAAGTCCAACTTTTGTCGTCGTAACTTAACTTTTATTTATAATTCATGTGAAAGACAGATAAAATATAATATATAGTACCTGTACATTATTGAAGACGAGTTCAAGAATTTCAATTCATAAGACGAGTATTATGAATGGAAATTTCTTTGGATCTTATTTTACATATTAATTGATATTATATGTCACGGTACTTGAGATTCGAGTGACTCCTTTTTAACAGAATTTTGCTGTCCAGGCATCGTCATACTTGGCATTTTATTTTTTGGCATCTTTCCAGGCCTTAGATACGGATTATCTATAACATCCTGCTGAGTAGTGGTTTCACCATTTTGCTCCATATTTTCATTTTGCGTTTGATTACCTGCAAGTAGAAATTTATGTCAAGTTCTTAACTGAATTGTATACGACGTTTAAATGTTTCTTTACAACATACAAACAACTTACCTTCCTCCGTTTCTTCGCTTTGTTGCTCCTTCTTTTTCTTCACCGGATTTGTGTCAAACTGAAAGTCTGGATCTGGCTCGAATATCTGGTCTTGTGGCAGAAGAGCAGATATGTAACTCGGAAATTGTGGTTTGCAAGATATCACTGAAAGCAAAACAGATACGCGGTGAGATTTTTCTTGTGTCGCCTCATTGAAATGTTCAATAAATCAATGCAAGCGACAGTTTTCTCACAAGGGAACATGCTGTTATCTTCTGTGAGGAATAAGCTATGCGTTTCTCCTGTTTTGGCAATAAATCTCGTTAAAGCTCTCTCGATGTCTCGTTTCTGCGTTGCTACCTTTTCTCTGATTGCCTCGTATTCTGTTACTGGTTGTTTATGCGTCTGCAATATTTCCACTGTTAGTTTCACATATGTTACTCAATATGTTTTATTACATGTAAAAAATAAAGTGTACAAATTTGTATGTACATACACATACAGTGTAATAGTAACTTGTAAATATTTACCGGAGTTCTGATATACGCGTGTGGGTCTGGAAAAGATGGTAAGTAGCTCGGAATGTGCGACGGATGGCCCTGCTTGACGCCAGCTTGCAAAATATTCAATTGCTTTGCCTGCGTCTGTTGTTGGAGCGCCGGCAAGATTGTCTTATTTGATCGCTTTGCATAGGTATCTATATTGTCCACTTTGATGCCCATGTTAATCAATGCCAGTATCACATCAGCTATAAGAGGTTCCGTTCTCCCCGAAAGTTCACAATAATTTCTCCCCGAGGCTCCGATCTCTATAATAACTGCAGTCCGTCCATGAGAAGAAAACGGTCAGTTTATAATATTAAATTTGAACTTGATCAAATCATTTCTTGCTATTTATTTTTTGTAAAAAAATACAAATTAGCATTAAAAATCAAGAGTTTATATAGTTACAAAATTGCATATCAGGTAATATGTAATATGTAGCTAAATGTATAAATAGTTACTACATGTAATAACAAATATATATATATATATATTATATATATAAGTAAAGTTTATATTTGAGGTTAGTTGAGTGGAAGTCTAAATTTGAGTCTTACATGACTGTAGCATTTCGGTAAGTGTTCCTAATACTTGTTTTTCACACGTTTCATAACCACATTCTACTAAAATGCTGGAAACTACTTGACTCAATATTCTTCTTCTAGTATTTACTGTTTGTGTATCCATCTTCCTTGCGTATTCTTCTTCTTCTTCTTCTTCGACTTAGAACAGTTAGAACATATAGATGTGGAAGGGGAATTGGAGTACCGATCGTGGGTCTGTTCTTTATTAGCCACGTTCAGGCCTTCACACATAAAATTCCGTAAGGACGTAAAACGTAAGCATAAGAAAATCGACCAATCACAGTCGAGAACGTAAGGCAATGACGCATATATATTCGTTATTGACACTTTTCAGACAATTTTCTTCAATTTATTTAACGTATGTACATCTGAAAGTATATATTTACTTTCGCTTGTCAATTATATAAACAATCAAAACGTGTTAAATTTACTAGCCGTAACAATTATATAGAACTATTATACGCACTTTTCTAGAATTTACTCATGCCTCCAAATTATCATTTTATTCGGGTTATTGGTAGATCGAAAGTTGTAATTTATGAATTTTAATGTATAATAGAGCCGCATTCGAAAAAACAATTTTTTTAAATAAACATGTGGAAAACTTTTACAAGGGTGATTGAATGTAATTGGTATAGCTTCAGTTAAAAATTTTTTTATAACATTTTTTTCTGAAATAAAATTTTGAAAGTGCTCTCTAAAAATTGCATCCAACGAACATATGTAAAAAATGAAATTATCATGAGGCATGTTTAAATTTACAAAAATTGAAGTATTATTCTGATATACTTTAAAAAACGAAAAAATTGTAGCATCGTGAAATTCCACGTCATCAATAACATAATTTTCGCAAATTGAACAAGAATGTTTTTTTAAACACTTATTCATTAGAAATCCGCATACATATCTAATAGAATTTTTTTCTAGTAGATCAAGCTTCTGATAATCTACATCGTCCATTGTAAACTCTTGAAAAAAACTGCTTTCTTTTTCTTCTTCAATTTCGTCTATTTCATCGCGATTCAATGCACTTAAGTATAACAAGATATTGTCTAAATCATCCTCGCAGTTTTCGTTCCCGGTATTTAAG